TTGCCAGTTTCAGATCATGTACATCCACTCTCTTCCTTTCTTCGATTATTTCGTTGCTGAAGCCAGCAAGGTAATTTCGGATTTTTTCACCGTAATTATCGAAAGCAATCTTGAAATCTTACTTTATTTGCGATATAACTTCATCCACATATTGTTTGTTTGCAACATCAGCGGCATCTGTTGGCAGTTTTACGTTACACATCTTCAAATGACCAACATCAATATCACCGGTTGGAGTATGTGAAAATCCAGATCTGACTGTCACCATCTGAGCTGAGCGTGGAAACGAGCCACGTCCGAATTTGTCGAGACTCATTATGCTTATGACTAAAGTATTGTACGTTATCGATAATGGTCGGCACTTTGCCTCGCCAATTATTAGCCCCTACACTCATAGACATGCCATGAAAGTGTCACGGAACTGTCAAGGAAGTGTCACGGAACTGTCACAAAAGTGTCAAGGAAGTGTCACGGAACTGTCACGGAACTGTCACGGAAGTGTCAAGGAAGTGTCACGGAACTGTCATGGAAGTTGTCATGGAAGTGTCACGGAAGTATCACAGAAATGTTACACATGTTTTATTATGCCTGCCTCTTCCAATTCGTTCAAGATGGCAACAATCTCGTTATCGTTTGATGTATTTCCGGCTTGCTGTGATGCAATGAGCAACTTCAATCTATCAACCAATTCGTTTGGATCATCCCAATACATGTACTCGATAGGTGCTGTGCTGTATGTCAACTTCAAACCACGACCACTGGAATTGGATCTGAACATTGGACGAATAATTTCTACGTATTTGAGTCTAGAGGAAGACTTCATACGTCCTGCAGAATTCAGATGAGCTTTGGTGAGCAAGAGTATTTGCTTGTATGGGTTCGTATCATCTTTGGCAAAGGATGGATCATTATAGAAGAGTAATTGATAGAGGCCTGGGGTGCCACGGAACCGAAAGCCATCAAGAAGTATATCTCCAGTTCTTCGATGGAAATTCATTTCTTTTCCGTTGAGAGACCATTTCGATGTTACTGGATCATATTTGGGACCATAAACCGTATCGATATTTTCATCATTTGTCCAGTATTCAGTCAGATATTTTTGAGCCATCGCAGGATACTGATCAACGTAATCATGTATTGCAGCCGGTGAGATATTTTCACTATCTACAAAAAGTTCATCATCAGCATCGTCATAACCATCCTCATCATCATCTTCAGTATGCCCAGCATTATCAGCCACATCCATCATAGGTATGAAATTAGTTTGATTCAAATCCGATTGCTCCCTCTCCACCTCCCCATCCTCTTCCTCCTTCTTCTCCTTCTTCAACCCCAACGATTTTGCTCTGCTTCGCTTGATGTTTGAAAGCGTTCCATCGAGTTTTTCTTTTATTACCTTGGACGTGGTGGCAATTTGTTTCAAAGGTGATGTCAGTGGTTGGAATATTGACTGTAACGCATCATCATCCTCAGACTTGCCCAATTTTATTGCTAAATATTTTCTTCTGATTGATTTCGATAGTTCGTTGATTTTTTTCTTGCGCAGCGCATCAGCAACATCATCATGCATCTTGGTTGACGTCATCTTGATGAATGGTCCAGAGATTACAGTCTTATGAACTTATCGAAACCATTTCTATATCTGCCAGCATTCATATCGAAAGTTTTTGCAATCACCATCGCACCATATTGGTTGGAATTCCAACACTCTGAGCACAATGCTTTAAATTGATCGAATGACATGTCTGGTGAGACATGCTCGTCGAACACATGCTTCAAATTCATTTCATCCTGTCGAAATAACACCAACAGGTTACTGTTGTCTCGCACCAGCTGCTTCGGTATCTTAGAAAAAGTCTGGCATAGGTATGCTACGTCAATATCCTTGTGTCTACACATTGAAAAATATTCTCGAATTTTTTGCTGCTTGTCGCATGATACATCATCAAAAATGAATATCGAATTATTTTTCGCTTCTGATGGACTGATGACATCATCATTTTCTTTAAAGGGAAAATACCCAACACCTTTCACTGAATCCAACACTTGTTGCAGCAATTGATATTTCGGTTGGTACAACGACTTTGAATACACGTAAACGTTCTTGAATTTCGCGCCATTTGGATTGAACAGCAGGGAAAGCATCGCATTGGTATTTCCACATCCGCTTGGTCCGCAGAAGATTGCTCTGAACGAATGGGGAAGCAGTTTCCCATGTTTACCATTTACTGGTGGTTTGGTTGACAAAATTTCATCCAAATTCACAATGGGTAACATCCGTTCTTGTTGAATGATCTTCATCATGTGATGATATATTTTTCATTTCATTAGGTATATGCAGAGTTGTCGAACTTCCTACACGTCAGTCTTCATGTTGCTCTACCACGGAGAGGGTGTGCTTAATTCTCTGATCGATAAACTTCCCATCGAATTACACATTCCAGGCTACAGATTTTGTGGTCCAGGTACCAAACTCGATAAAAGACTTGCACGAGGAGACACCGGTATCAATCCGTTGGACGACGCGTGTCGAGTACACGATATCGCCTATTCACAAAATTCCTCAATAGAAGACAGGCACAAAGCTGATTGGATATTGGAAAATAGAGCGTTGGAGAGAGTCAAGTCGAATAACGCTAAATTCAAAGAGAAGGCTGCTGCTTGGCTTGTCACCACCGGAATGAAGGTCAAACGAAAACTTGGCATGGGTCTTGTATCACAGCAATCCCTATCCAACATTATCAAATTCATAAAAAATGTACTATCAAAATCAGATGGTGGTGGTGGTGGTGGTGGTGGTAGTACAACATCAGGAAGTGGTCTGAATAAATCCGCATTGAAAGCACTCCGTGCAGCCAGAATGGCAATCAAGAGGGCTGGCGGTAAAAAAAGAATCAGAGTACCAAGAATCATACCTCTTCCACACAGTGGCGGTATACTACCATTGATACCAATCTTTGCCGCCTTGGGAGCCCTAGGATCTCTAGCTGGAGGAGCCGGAGCAGTCGCAAAGACAGTCATTGATGCGAAAAATGCAAAGAAAAAGCTCGAAGAAGATCAAAGACATAATAAAGCAATGGAGGCTATCGGCAAGCAGGGTTCCGGCCTATTTCTACGCAAAACATCGAGAGGATTCGGACTGTACTTGAAGAAACAATCAAAAAACTCAAAAAACTTCTAGACAAGCTACCCAATAAATCAATGTACGATAAAGATGTGATAAAGTATGCCAAACAGCTGAAAATACCGTATTTTCGAGGTGTTTTTATGCGGGACACTCTACCTTCCACCGGTCCATGGCATCGCGAGTGTGCTGTATTGAATTTGGATACCTCCAATCATGCGGGCACTCATTGGGTGGCTTACATAAAAAATGATAAAAAAGCCTTATATTTCGATAGTTATGGTAATCTGAAACCGCCCAGAGAATTGGCGCAATATTTGGGTGCCAGCACAAAAATCTTGTACAATAACAATCAATACCAAAATTTCAATCAAAGTAATTGTGGACGTCTATGTTTAGAATTCCTTTTTAATGAGACCAAGTAACTCGGTCATTGTGCATCAGTCATGTCTCTGATAGTGACGTTGAAAGGTCGTACATCTACGCTCTCCATAGACTTTTTGACACCACTTCAACTCGATCCAGACTCTGATTACGGACTAGCATTGTTGGGATTCCATTCATACAACAGTATACCAAATATCGACAAAGGATCAAAGTTTTATCTGCAAGATAAGACCAAGGCGGGAAAGATTATCGATATTCCCGAAGGTTCATACGACATTGTGGACATTGAGACATTCATACGCAAAGAATTGGGGATCTCAAGTGCAAAGGACGTTGATGATATATTCTCGTTGAAGCCCAACAATAATACACTAAAGTGTGAGATTTCGAGCAAACAGTTTGCCATTGATTTTCGTCCAAAGGATAGCATAGCTCAAGTCTTGGGATTTTCAAATAGATTGTTGAACGCACAACAAGTCCACACTTCCGATTTGCCGGTCAGCATAACCAAAGTGAGAACCATTCACATTGATAGCAACGTTACTGCTGGAGCTCTCTACAACGACAGACCATCACATACGATCTACGAGTTTGCAGTTGCAGTCGATCCTGGTTACGCCATAGACGAGACTCCCAGAAATCTAATCTATCTACCTATAGTCAGCAGGCGGGAATTGCCCAACATTACACTCCAGATTCTAGACCAAGATTTCAGGCAGGTGAATTTTAGAGGTGAAGAAATCATCATAAGATTGGAATTGAAGAAACTCGCAAGATGGTACTAGTGTTTGATTACTCCTATAAATCAGATAATATACCATCATCAGCAACATCATCAGCACCAGTTCTCTCAACACCGTACACCAAAGCAGTCGTGTCTTCGAAGAGCAGCAGCAGCCGCAACAGAAAAACATTGACATTATCCAGTGTCCTGTTTCTGAAATCACTCAAAGACTACAATGTTGTTAGCACCCGTGTTCGACGTTTTCCGCAAACCCAGACTCGACGAAAGCATCACTAAAGTGGAATGGCGTACCTATTATCCATATGTGAAATCATTCGAGAACAATGATGTCATCGATATAACGGTTAATCAAGCAGATTCGTGGTTGGCCATGTTTGAAGGCATCATTACCATCAAGGGTAAATTGAAGGTGACCGGTGGTGGTACTGGTACATTAACCCACAATGCTGGAGCCTATCTCTTTGATTCCTGCACCTATGAATTGTGTAATAAAGAATTGGACACTGTCAGATATCCTGGAATAACGAGTACTGTGCGAGGATACTTGTGTTATACGCCTGAAGACTCACGTCATCTAGCCATAGCAGGCTGGAACTATCCCAATGCTCCGATCCTCAACACCGATGGTACGTTTAGCATGAACATTCCACTGAAACATTTGTTTTCCATCTTCAATGATCATCAAGTGGCAACGTGGGGCAAGCAGTCAATCCGTTTAGTGAGAGCTCGCAATGATGCCAACAGTGTGAAGGTTGTCGAGAGAGCGAATACTGCTTTGCCAGGATCTCCTCAGACTCAAAGTATTGCTAAAATAACGATAGAAAGCATCAATTTGAAAGTGCCACATCTCACACCCAACGATGACATAAAGTTGCAGTTGTTGACACGTATCAAAGCAGATGAGCCTATGATGATACCGTTTCGCAGATGGGAATTGCACGAGCTACCAGCACTCACACAAGGATCTACCATAGAAATCTGGTCCGTCAAGACATGTTCTGCATTGGACAGTCCAAGATATGTTATAGTATTTTTCCAAACGAAAAAAGCCGATAATTTGCATGAAGACGTCACCTTGTTCGATAATGCCAACATCAAATCCATACGATTGGCTCTGAATAGCGACTATTATCCGCAAGAACGAATGCTATTGGACTTTTCCCGAGACCAATATGCCGACGCCCACTTCAACTATACAGAGTTCAACAAGAGCTACCATAACTGTCAAGAAAAGCGCTCTCTAGTAAACTTTGCCGAATTCAAATCCCGACCAATGTTTGTTATCGATTGCTCGAGGCGCCATCTGGGTCTAAAGTCGTCCACAGTTGACATAAAGTTGGACATTGAAGCGACTACAGGCTTCCCTCCCGACACCAAAGCCTATTGCATCATCATTCACGATCAAATCATGGAACATCTCCCACTCAGCGAAATTGTTCGAAATATTGCCTAGGTGGGTGTTGCTGCATCAGTCAGACGTCAGTTTGCTTCGAAGAGCCATGGAGATCGCACTGGTTGATATTCAAGGGTTCATGGTTGATGGTGAATTCATTCCAAAGGAAATGACCATTCGCATTGGCAAAAAGATGAGTCATTTTCTATTCAAGCCATCTGTAGAATTTTCGAGTTTAAGCAGAGAAGATAAAAAGATGGCAAATCATGTGGAGCGTTACGTTCATGGTTTAAAATATTCCAGTGGTTATGTGGATTTGAATGAGTTGGATCAAATACTACGAGATAACCTGCAGCAGACAAACATCATCTACGTAAGAGGCCATCAAAAGATTCAGTTTTTACAACGAAAATGTGCAGAGTTGGAGATGACCAATCACATTGTTAATTTGGAAGATTTTGACAATTCTTGGTGGCAACCAATAACGTTTCAACAATCCATTCCACCTTGCATGCATCATTTCCATGGAGGAAGGTTCCAGTGCAGTCTCCACAATGTCGATACTTTATATAATTGGTTATGTAATTTATTGCCAAAATAAAAAACTTTATAATAATTTCAGAGTTTTTATTCATCGCGTCCCTTATTTCTCAGTATAATGAAAATAACATGTGAGATTAAAATGAGTGAACATATTAGTGTACAACAAAGTGTCAAAATTGCAATGATATTGACAGAATCTTGATCATCATCTAATTTTGTGGGTGATTTCTTCAATGTAAATGTCTGCCAGTCTCCCATTTCGCCGTCACTGCCATCAGAAAACGATAATTTCAATTTGTAGTCGATGGTGGTCCCATTGACTCGAGGCATGTCGATTGAATATACAGGTAGTTTGTTATCATTGACATACATTCTACTCATCAGCTTCCAATCACACTGTTGTGTACGATTCACATCAAAACATACGGCTGCATTCCTCGTATTGTACGGTATGTTTGTGTAGAAGATGTTGTTGCTCAGAGCTGTCAATAGAATGAAGCTTGCTTTCAGTATCGCCATCTAGTAGCTGTGTTGGTTGGATTCTTCTCGATGTAGGTGCAGCTGTGCGTCTCGGTTCTGTGAACACCTTGTCCCAAACACTCAATTGCTCGAAATCTTTGAACAAACAAACTTTCTGCTCATACAATTGGATGTCTGCACTGAGCTTTCTAACTTTCAACCCAAATTCTTCTAGTGCACGTCTGTATTCGTCAGAAGACATGATACAACTGTTTTTTACATCCATACCTTCAACTAATATCCATCCAATCTCTCTCTCTCTCCCTTTCTCTCTCTCTCTCTTACTCTCACTTCTTCTTCTCTTTTTTCTCTCTCTCTTTCTCGTACACATCATCCAGACAAGGGAGTGGGAAAAGAATACACAGAAAAGTCTAATAATTGTAAAAGTGTATAATAGTATAAATGTAAAAAGGGATAATATAAATGAAAAAAAAGTTTATACAATAAAATATGAATATTAGGAATAATTAGATAATACTAAAATATACATATATACAACATAAATTATTGGATGAATAAAAGAAGTTACATTTTTTTCATGGGGAAATAAGTCATCAATACAACAGCGTTGGTTAAAAAATTTGATGCAAAAATACTAAGGAGAAAATCAATCCGTCAAACTGTAGTGACCCCACGGAAGTGTGTCAAACGAATCGTGAATCAGTTTCCGCTTATCATCTTTGGGACTCAGGCCAATTTTAGTCTGCTCGATAGAAAAAACATCGTGAGCGTAGGAACGAATCGTTTGCTGGGCTACGGTCTTTTCTTTCCAAGCCGTCAGACAATCCACATAGTCATCAAAAGTCAACTTATTTTTGACGACGCATTTCTTGACGCCCTTGGATTTTTTAGTTATACCAAAATTTTCCAATTCCCTATCTAGTCGTTCTTTACTGAATCCCTTTCTTCCCAATCGCTTTCTCTCTTTTTCAATATCCTCATCCGTTATATCCAATTTATAACTGTACATCTTGGACCGTAGTCCAGCAAAATGCGTAATAATCTTACCGTTTGCCTCATCCTTTAATAGGCCCAAGACTTTTTTATTTACTCGAGGTATACCATAAATATTATCTGGAGCATAGTCAGACGTGTCAAATCTCTCGATATTTGCAACAATCACCTCACTATACGCATCGTCACATACAATTTCGTAGATGAAGCTGTCCGTATCGGTATACATGAGTTTTACGTCAGCTCCAAGCTTTGGTAACATGAAATTGTAGTGGAAATCATACATGACGATTTTCGATAAATCAAGAATAGCCATACCAATGTATAGGGGCTTGTTGAAAATCAGCTCTGCTTTTTTCAACTCTACTGCCACCAAATTGTCGTCGAAAACTGTTCGTTGTTGGAACCGAGGACTTGAAATTAAATTTTTAATGCCATAGCGGCCTTCATACATTCTGACTAACTTTACTGTTCTATGATTACGAATATTCTCCATCGTCTTCCCAAACACCGCATTATTGGCTAATTTCCTTAAATCTTTTTCAAAATCGTTTGTAGCTAGAGTCCTCAATCGAGTATTCAACTCGATGTAGGGCTTTAGCCACGTGGATTGTTTGAACTTTAATACTTTATGAATCTTGGTCAATTTCAGACCGTGTTCTAATGCCTGCTTCAAATTTCTGTAATGTAAAGTATATGACTTTTTATCGTACAGCGTGGTCATTAATTTGGATAATTTTGAATTTGGTGGTGTGCGGTGTTCGGGACAAAATGGTAGGTCCTTGTGTAGGTCATGCAACCCCTCAGGATACTCCAAATCAACTTGGAGAATATAGCCTTCTGGACTGTTGTCAGGAATTTGGGTTACATCAATGTCAACATTTTCTACCCATGTAAAGCCCCCATAAGGGAGGGGTTCACTCATTGCTTTTCCATAAAGGTTATTTACATCGAGATAAAGAAGGTACTTTGACGGCTTTTTTGGATCGTAATTTTTCTGATATTTATTGTTTGCTTCGCTATACCTATTGCAACAAACCGATATCCCTCCTCTTATCGCCTGCTCCACAAACATCACCATGTCGATATCTTTGATGATTTGCAGCTTGCACCCAGTATACTTGAGCATGCAGTCCCAAGTATAGCCGGGCATGGTGTAATACCAAGCAGGATCGAGGCCATAGGTCTTGAGGGATGACGCACGGAAATTTTCCATGACGTCAGCAAGAAGAAGAATATCGGTCCGCATATATAGGTCGCTATATTCTCCCAGCGATTTCAGCTCGAAAGATTCCCAAACTTTTCGCGCGTGCGCGTAATCGTCGTCCGAAATATTTGTATCGTTCAATTTGTTATAGAAATTTTGAATGCTTGGCAACTCGGATTCATCCAATCTTTCCACATTATCGACATAGTCATATGGAAATACTCCTTTTCGTGTCAACAATGCAAATTTCGTCTCATTCACGTCACTGAATTCCTTCTTTAGAATTTTCAAATCATTAACTTTTAGCGTTGACACTAAAGCATCGAGACTGGTTCCCAAAAAGCGGAAAGAGTCGATGAATCGGAATTTTATGCTTGTTTCATCATCATGTTGTGTAAAGGAAATGTATTTTTCGCGATTAACCGGGAGTACGCTCACACGTCCCCGCTTGGAAATGTCTCTGATTATAAAATGTGAATCATATCCTGAGAGGTTGTGGAAAGTAATGGGAACAACGAACAGTTTCCTAAAGTTGAGATTACAGGGAGCCTGGTGTGCGAAGCCTCTGAATGCGCCAGTAAAATGGTCGTGGTCACGTACGATAACGTCTTTTGCTTTGAATTTCTCTTCGCAAATGTGGCAGATGGTTGCGCCACTGGTACTAGCTGGTTTGACTACCATTGGAACGATATTTTTCAATTTGGATTCGACAAATTTGGCAATTTTAGACATTTCGCAGGCAAACCAGTCCATGCAATCTCCACCCCTATGACTACGATAAAATGACAGCGAGTCATCGAAAGAACATTTAAAATAGTACCCAGCACTGTATGCTTTATGATGTTGATACTTTGAAGTGGTTTTTGAAATTTTGGAATTACATTTCTCCAACTGCGATTCGAAATCAGCATAAATGATAAAAGGACATGTCTGCTTATACACATGGTTCTTAAATTCTACAAAATCATACTTGGGGAATGAAATTTTCTCATTATTAATTTTCTCACATTGAGCGGCATGACTATCAAGCTTCTCCTGACAATGATAATAGTTGAGGCACCGATCGCAGATGAATTTCTTTCCACAATGTTTGTTGAGTTGACTTGATACTAGTCGTGAAAGGTCCTTAATCCAGACATAGTGATATTTTATATTGACGTTCTCTTCAGCATTATCGTTGTCAGGAGGAGCTTCATAGTCATTCAAATTTGGGAAATATTTGTCCTGAATTAAAAGCAAATTAACGTGTCGATTGGATTTATGCTTAGTAAGTCTGGTGGGTACTACAGAGTAAAATGTTCGTTCGTTGACTTCTGTCAACTCTAACGCATAAACATTCACGGAAATAGCATTCATTTTTTCAAATTTTGTTATTTGGGGCAGCTTCATTGGTATGTCTAATCCTTTCATGTTCAAAATCTGTGAATAGTGAGGATAATTCTTAACTCTATTTGAATTTTTTTCAATGGGATGCAAACAACTGACTATGCTCCAAAAGAAGCATGCCTCATCATCATTTTGAACGTTAATGCAAGCCTGCTTTTTCTCAATCTGCACTGGCAATTTGATGTATGATGAGCCATTGCCCATTTCATATTTATTTATGGCAACCTCCAGAGAAATAATTTCGCTCAAGGCCCACCCGCTATTCTTCTCGGCAAATTCGCTAAGTTTATTAAGGATCACATCTAGCACATTGATTTTGAACCAATCGGCTAG